ACTCTCTGCAGTAGCTCCTCATCTTTCTTGAAGTGGGGAGCCCAGAACTGGACGCAGTACTCCAGATGGGGCCTCACTAGTGCAGAGTAGAGGGGAAGGAGAACCTCCCTTGACCTGCTGGCCACACTCCTCTTAATGCACTCCAGGATCCCATTGGCCTGCTTGGCAGCCAGGGCACACTGCTGGCTCATGATCATTTTGTTGTCCACCAGCACACCCAGGTCCCTCTCCAGCAGGTCCACCCCAAGCCTGTACTGGTGCATGGGGTTGTTCCTCCCCAGCTGCAGGACCCTGCATTTGGCTTTGTTGAACCTCATCAGGTTCCTCTCTGCCCAACTCTCCAGCCTATCCAGGTCTCTCTGAATGGCAGCACAGCCTTCCGGTGTATCAGCCACTCCTCCCAGTTTTGTGTCATCAGCAAACTTGCTGAGGGTACACTCTGTCCCTTCATCCAGGTCATTGATGAGTAAGTTGAACAAGACTGGGCTGAGTACTGACCCCTGGGGAACCCCACTAGTTACGGGCCTCCAACTAGACTCAGCTCAAATAGTGCAGTTTCTAGGTGGTCTAATTAATACAAGTAGTAACGGTAATACTCCTGCTGGTATTCTGCTTTGGCCAAGGGTGGGCTCACAAGCCTGATAGTTGATCCTTAGAGTGTCTTTACAGCCAGGTGAGACCTTATCGGGGCTGGCAAGAGTGTGGGAAATAACTGGCCCAGGTAGTGTTCGCTGCTGCACGGTGGGTTCAGGGAGTAACGTTGTACCACAGAGGAGCTTGCTTTACAGTCATCTGAGGGTTTAAGAACATTATTATCAAATGCTAATTTTAAGCAGTTATGGTTGTAGATGAGGTCGCAGTGTAAAAATGCTACAAAATAAGCCTATTTTAATTGCTTACAGCTGTACTAGAAAAACTGTATAGAAAAAGAAAACAACTGTTTTGCTTTGCTGTTTAGCACATCGCACTTTGTATCACCAGAGAGGTATGCTGAGAGAACCTTTTTCATTCTCCTAAGGGTTTTACTTATACCTGAAGGAGGAAAGTTATCTGTGATGGGAAGAGTTTTTATATTCCGAGTTTCTTCCAGCATTGTAAAGTTGCGGCTGGAGCTGTGCTGGCCTGCATTCAGGAGTCTGTCTGCTTTCATCCCCTTGCAGTGCACTAATATCTCCCATCTGAAAGCCTGAGATGGAGGCCCTTGGTTGCTGCGATTTAGGATTTGATCGAGTGTGTGATGGTGGTAACGCTGGCTCAGTCTGAGCTGAGCTTTGGTAATGAATTGTGTGCGCTTTGGTAATCCGTGGCAACGGCGAGTAAAACAGGTTTTCTTAAACCGCTGCTGAGGGCTGAGTAATGAAGGGAAAGGGTGGGAACAGTGAAAAATGCCCGATCTGACTGTAAGCGAGTGGCTGCGCTTGTCGGCTTTTGAGCGTTCTTGAGCACGGTTTTGATGCTGCGGTGTTTCTCTTTGTAGCGCTTCCACTTCTCACTCGGACCATTCTGCTCCCACCAAATCTGCTTCCGCTGTATCATCTGACTCCGTCTCCACCTCGGCAGACAACTTCTCTCCAGATTTGAGGGTATGTAAGTTTTGTCTTAAAAAAGAAAAAAAATATATCTGTTTGGCCTCCTTCAGAGGACACTTCGTGCTCCCTTGAGTTTGGGTATGGTAAAATGATGTTGGCTTTCAGGTTAATGTCAAATTTTATGTAGCCAAAGCATGAAAGGACCCAAAGTCAAACAGGTGAAATTGGTTTAATCTCTACTGTATTATATCCTGCTTTATAAAGTTATTTAATCTTCAAAAAGCTGACTCTGCAACCCATGCTTGGAGATGAATTTTCAAAGGAACTCCATTTTCTTTTAAGTGCTTTAAATAAGTGAGATCCTCAACCTGCCACTTGTATATCCTTTTTTTTCCTGTTGTGTATACATAAGAGAGACGTTCCCGCTTGAGAACTCCTGCTTGTTTGTAAACACGGAGTCCTTGGAAGTATCTTCTTTCTGAGAAAGATTGCTGTCTCCAAGCTGATAAAAATAATCTTCTTTCACAATAAATTGCTCTGACATAAAAAGGTCCAAACAAGGCTCTTTTAAGTCTGTAATTAGAGAAGTTAATTATAAATTCAAAGTTCTAGTTCAGTGTCACAGGAGTTTTGAAAGCTATCTGTACGTTCCTCTTATGAAACCAAGGGGTTTGCTGATATACCTTTGCTTTAAAAAAATAGTTTCTGAGTATGTAACTGTTGGTATTGGTACATTCTTGTAATGACTTTTAGGATTTCTCAGCTGTGGTCGAGCGTCTTTGTAAAATCGAAACATAGTAAAATTGCGTAAAAACCTCCAAATGTAAATGATGGTTTTTTTGTCCCGTGAGTGTGGCCTCAGTAGTCCATAGTTAATAGCAGAAAGTCTACCTGTTCATGAGTGGCAACAACATGAATGTTTCTTTGCAAAGGCAGCTTATTAGCCAATATTAAGCTGAGATTTGAAAATTAATCAGTAGTTTATGTGTAATCTAATGATAGTTTGTACCTTTTACCTATGGGTACAAAAAGTAGTCTTCAGAACATGCCCGGGTAAAGAAGTTTGTAATTGGTCTGAAGTTTTTCCCCGGGGAAGTTGGGGTGTTCAGTTACACCAACATGCAGAAAACACAGCTTTTAGGCTGAGGCAAAGTGATTCATTGATATGAATATACATAAGATTGCAAATACTGCTACAGCTGTAACTGTTTGTGTAATAGTATAAAGAAAATACACAAACTTATTTTCTTTTTTTTTTTTTAACTGAAGTTTGTGTAAGGGGGTTTCTTTTTCCTGTTTTGATGCACAACTCGGCTGCCTTTTCACAGGTTTTGTGACACTTGGGGATTACCTTTCTAAGTAGAGAATGAAGCAGCATTTCTTTTCGATAGAATCAAGGTTGTCTTTCCTTCCTGGTGGCTGAGTTGGCTCAACATGTTTTCCTCATAACCCTGATTGCGTCTTGTGACCCTTTCCCCCCACCCTTTTGTCACCTTATCTGTGTGAATTGTAAGCTGTCTGGGCAGGGATTCCAGCTCTCCTGGGCTCTCCTGGGTCTGGTTCCCCATCCAGCAGGGCCTCTGTACCCCCTAGCAATCAAAGACAACGTCTGCAGAGGAATGTTCGCTTAGCTGCAGGACAGATTTTTCAGGCAGAAGATGCGTTGTTTACCAGAGGCCATTGGAAGCCCGTACTCCCTTGCTGTGCCGCTGTTCCTGTGATTTGCAGGGTGATTTCTGCACAGCCTGCCCCCCTCCTTCTCTTTTTTTTATTTCTAGGCAAACTTAAGTTCTGCCGTGGTTGGAACAAATGCTGCTCCGCTTTCATTTTAGAATAACGTTTAAGGAGAGATGGTAAAGCAGAGAATTACTTGTTTAGAATAAAGGCACTGCAGGCTAAGTGTGAGCACGTGCCTCTGCTGGCAAAATGCTTCTTGCTCTTAACCTGCATCAGCTCTGTGGGACTTGAATTCAGCACAAGCCTGCCATGCTTCACCTAAAGCTTGCTCTTGCAGAGGTGGTTTGAGCGGCTGCAGTGCCGTGGTGTGTAGGCATAAAGCTGGTTTCTTGCCTTTACAGCTGACTTACTGCTTGTCAGTGGTAAGCACACCTAGACAAAATGTATTCTCGTGGTCCTACTTGTGTTAGAGTGCAGGGAGAAGGGGGCAGTTCCACTAGTAGAGGTTGACTTTATCTCTCCTTGAGGAGTTAATGTATTAATCATTTCTGTCTTTGTTCCTGAGAGTGTTTCATGTTGGAAAACAAGCCTGGCAGGTGGATGAAGATCTGTCCTCTACCTGTGGACAGCCTCTTGTGTTGGTATTGCCAGTGCAACTGCAGCCCCACAAGCTGTCCTCAGATCAACCGCTGTCGGTGCCAGTGAATTGTTTGCTCCCCGGGCTTGCTCTTGGAGCATAGTGCTAGCTCCTAAATCAAAGATTTATTACAACTACTGATCAGCTAACACTGATTTCTTTCAGGTCTTGAGTCAAGAATAACAAGCGTCCTATTACCATTTTTTGTCCAATTTTCTCCAAATTAACATCTCTGTTCTGTGACAGTTCTGCAAGTTGTGGGTTTTTTTTTAAACATCAGTTCTGCGAGAGATTTTTCAAGGCCCTGATTGTTCTCACTATTTTCTTTGATCTTTCTGAGATGTGGCATTGCCTTTGATACTGCAGATGAGGTCATACCATGAACTGATACAGTGGAATGAGCATGTTCTCTGTTCTAGCCCTTTCCTTACACGCCTAAGCATCTTGTGCAGCTTTGATTGGCACAAGACGGCACGAACTCCCACGTCTTAACAGGTAGTGAGATTAGAGCTAAGCACCTTATTACTTCTCAGGACAAAAAGAAGTCCCATGTTGTTCCTGGAAAAATGTAAGAGAATAAGCCCCGAAGTGAGAACTAATGCATTTTGTGGTAGCAATGTGGTATGGGAGACGAGTGCCTGGGCTACATAGTGTTCTCACAGGAAGGTGTTGCATCAGTTAGCTTTAAGAGGCTGAAAATCAGCTTTTCAAGGTTTTGAAGTGGATCTGCCAATTATGGGATTATGTTCTTGGTGTGTATTGAAGTTTTCCCTGCTAGAATGAATTACTACGTGGATCCATCATCACTCCTGCCTCTACTCAGTCTCTGCCTCTGGGTGTGCATCGACTCAAATTTAGGAATTAAATTTCTGTGACGATGGAAAAACACTTTGTGATAGCTACAATTAGCGCTTTCTTTTTCTGTAGGGAATTTTGAGAAGAATAGTAGGCGTCCATCGGGAGGAGGGAACCAGGGGAAGGACCCACATCATTTCTTGCAGTCTGTGCCTGCAGTTTTCTTTTGGAGTGCAATTAACACTCTGTGTGCGTGCACGCGTGTGTGTAATGAGGTAAATGAGACACAACTGGGGATTCATGCTGAATGCATGTGCAGTATTTTTCCTAAATCTTTCTCCAAAGTATTTAATAATAACCTTTATGAAGGGTTTTTTTAAATGTATATTGAGCATTTCAATATCTGGAACTAAGATTAAATTGCCTTTCTACTACAATTTATAGAATTTTCACTTCATAAACTAACTCTGAATAATTTTTGGCTGCTTCAGTTAGCTTCACAGGGGAAAAAAAAACAAAACCCAACAGAAAAACAACAAAGCACTATTAGGTTCTGTTCTCCACCCCCCTCCTGATCTTAAATCTGAAGCTGTTTAGAATTGATGTAGGGAATGCACTTTTTGAGGGAATTTTTAGCAAATACATTGCCATATGTTTTAACATAAGTTATAGATCAGGCAAGAACAGAATTGAATTGAAGTAGTTGGAAGTGAAAATGAGCTGGAAGTTCATAGATACTTTATAATTTGGGATGAGATTTTAAAAACACCTTAGAGCCAGCATTGCCAAAAGGATTGAGGTGTATAAATATCTCTTACAGATCTGGGAACTTTGTGGTTATTAAAGTACAGCGAAATTCTTGCTCTTAAGTCCTATAGGTGGTATTTTCTCCTGTGCCTACGAGCAGAATGTCTGTGCTGTTTATAGTACTTCTTTTAAGTCTTCTTGCTAATGCTCCAGCCTGCATCAGTGGGGACTTTCATTCTGAGTTAGCTGTTGGTTTATAGGATAATGCCTGAAGTTTACTGTATTCAAAGCTTTGGAGTAACTGTCATGGAAGGGTTGGATCCCTTCCGTCTGCAGCTGGGAAGCAGTGGATACGACCAGCGGAGCCTGCTGCCACGTCCCTCGAGAGCCGTACCTTCGCCTGAAATTTTGTTGAAGTCACAGCATCACAGAATCAGAGAATAGTAGGGGTTGGAAGGGACCTCTGTGGGTCATCTAGTCCAACCCTCCTGCCGAAGCAGGGTCACCTACAGC